GCGGAGCCAGGGCCGGAGGCGACAACGGTGGTGCTGCGACGATCACTGGTGCTGCGACGATTGGCGGCGACGAGGCGACGGCGGTGGTGCTGCGATGATCTCCTCTCCTCCTCTTTCTCTTCTCCTCTCTTCTTCCTCTGCTCTTCTCCTGTGTTCAACGAAGAAGAAGAAGAAAAGAAAGAAAGAAAAGGAAGAGAAAGAAAAGGCAGGAAAAAAAAATTCGAAACCCAAAACGATGTCGTTTTGGATTTCGAGCCGAATTCGGGTCACCGAATTCGAGTTACGAGTCATTTTCCCTCTAAAACACCAATTGCACGGGTTCAATCCCATAACTCTATTATTAAAATAAATGAAAGAATTAGTTACATTCAACTTACAAAAAATATATAATATCGATAAGATTATTTTGATAGATTTACTAAACCTTCTGAATATATTAAAAGATTGTTAATAAGAATGTCACTAGCCAGCATTATTGCTACCATATATACGAGGATTTTAGCTGGTACCCATCACCATGATCCAAGTCCCTCATAAGCACGGTATATATATATATATATATTGTATATATTCATAAATAGTTATAAATAACAAAATAAAAATAAAAATTTCCTCGTCTGACACAATGAGGAAGAAATATCAATTTCTCTCTGAATCATGTAATATTATTCTATATGATAAAGAGAAGCGTTAGATTCGAGTAGGATAAACTCCACCATCATTCACCACCACCCTACCAAGAAGGGTACGGTTCAAATTGAAAGTTCAATTTTTGTTAAGGAACAGATTATAGTACGCACATGTACTTTATAATTAAACAAAAAAATTATATAATTTCATATTTTTTAGTCATAATTAAAATAAAAAAAAAAAATCATAACCAAGTACTACATGAGCCATAACTAAAATTTTAAAATAATGTCATAATAACTAAAAATAAAATTGATCATAACTAAAGAAAAAAAATATCGTAACTGAAGATGCATATAAGATAAGGTGTATATTGTAAAATTCTCCTTTTATTATTATACCTCTTATATATATATATATATATATAAACACAAAAAAAGCACAAAATTATAATTCTTATATAAAATAATATGACAGTAATATTTTCCAAGAAAGTTTGTGATCTGGACATCAGATCAACATTTGTGTGTTGATGGGTGCCATCTGTTTCATTTGTTTAATCATGAAAGCTTTCATATACATAGAGAGAGAGAGAAATGTTTAAAAGCTCTAGAGAGACTAAAGGAAATGTGATGTTTTAATCTTCATTTTTTTTTTTGTTTTTTTTTTGCTTGCCAGTGGTTTAGAGCTGGTTTAGAGCTCTGAATTTAGAAAATCGACACTCGGGGCCCACCTAAAAAATAAACCGAACTTAGGAAAAAATTCTGATTTTATCCAGAATTTTATAACTATTTCCAACACAAGATAGATGGTGGTGTTGGAATCTAATTCCCTTCCTATCTTTGACACAGAAATGCTTTTGCTCAGTTTCATGCTAAAAGCAACTCCTTGGATCCTCCTCAACAAGAGAGAGGTGTATTGTTGGAAAGGATTCAAACATTTTCAGGCAATTGGAAAGAAATTAGCAAGAAGATGATGGAATTAAATTAGATTCATGATTATGGAAATTAATAGTGCTGCACATAAAAATTTCATAGAATAAGATAAAAATATTACTCAAAAAATTAATATATATATATATTTTTGAATATTTTGTCTCATATCTATGCATTTCGATGCAGGTAGACTTTGTAAAATGTTCACAAGTAATTATAGATGCAAACACTTCCCATTCTATAATTTTTTTTTTTTTTGGTACACGTAGCACAACTGCTTATATATGCAATATACTTTTCTTAATGCAAGTGTTCAGTTTCTGTGTTATTAGATTTACTAATTAAAAAAAAAAAGAAAGAAAAAAGTCCCAAATAATCTATCAATGAAGTCATGACTATTGTCAAATAAAAAAAAATTATGTTGAAATGTTTGACAAGGCATGTAAACAAAACATATATCATAATTAATTCAAATTGTGTAATTTATCAAATATACACGACATCTTACCCAATGTGTGAATAAAATTGAACCCGCGAATATCTATATATATAATTTATCAAGTGGCTGCTCATTAGTTGTTGATGGAGAAACTTTTTTGCAAATAATTGCACATGCATCTGACATGAAAATAGATGCCATAACATGAGATATTGATTACTTTATAGCAAAGACTTTGCTTTAGTACAATTGTGAAAGAACAAGGCCCTCATTTCCCCACCAATGTAATGTAAACCAATAGTCTCAAAAGATGGTGTGCCAAATTGACATGTCATGTTACCATGACAGAGCAAAGTTATTCAAAGCTGGCATTCTTAATTGGAAAATTCATGCAAGTGTAGATCCTATAGCAACAAACTTAGAACCTAATTTTTACTTCATGGGGCTGGAAAATCTAACTTACCAGAATCCAAAAATGAAGAAAGCTCCAAACAACTCGAAAAAAAAAAAAAAAAAAGAAGCTGATTTCTTTGTGCAACTGTAACGACCCCATCACGTATAATGATTAGTACTTGATTAATCAAGAGAATTTGAAATTAATTGCCGAGTATTATAATTTAATTTGAAATTTATGAGACTTGTGGAATCCGACTCGTATAAGATTCTATTAAAGAGTTATTTTGGAATTAAAAATTAAGGATCCGAATGACTTAAGGAAGTGAAGTTAAGAAGTTGAATCAATCTAATTTTAATTACGGGCCCATTTGGGAGTTTAATTAAATATTCGATTCAATTTAGTGAAATTGAGATTCGATTAATTAGGTCCTAATTGGAGTTGATTAAGTCATGAGAATTGAGGATTGTGGTTATTATAAATTAAATTTAATTATGATGTGCGCAATTTGAAGATGTAATTTATTGATGAAAATTTGAGTCTGATCAGAAATTGAAGGCCTAAATGATTTGGGAGATCAAAATTGATAATGATAATAAATTTAATTTAATATTTGGAGCTTTTTGGGAGTCTGACTAAAAATCTGATTCGGATTAATAAAATTAAATATAATTAATTAGGCTCTAATGGAAATCAATTAGATTAATTAAATTATGAGAAATCTATGATTTGTTATAATTAATTTACTGATGTGCTAATTGAAATTTATTAAGACTAAGTGTTGCTTAATTAAATAAATCCTAAGCATAAATTGTCTTATGAAACAATCTAGATTTGAGGGTGTATTTGGGTGTGGGTGTGCAAAGAAAATTCTGTGGGTGTGTGCATGTTAAGTGTTGTGCTGGAAGTGCTATGAGAGTGTGTGTGTGCACGTGTAATGAGGCCAAAAACAGGGGATGTGAGTATTATGGATAATGTGATGAAAGAGTCAATGAACTCAAAAAGAAAAAGAGATGAAAACCGAGGAAGAAAGAAAACCGGGAGAGAGAGAGAACTCACCTGGAAAAGAGTTGCTGGAGAGTGAAATGCAAGATGAACAACTAAGAAAGCAAAGGAGAGATGAGGAAAATAATTTTCCATAAACTTGATGTTCATAAAACATTTTCTTTTTCTCTTCAAAATATGAGATTGAATTAATCCAAATCCTTCAAAATCCATGATGTATGTATCAATAGAGTACTAAACTAGTAAAATTTATTCATGCATGTAACAAATAGAACTTAATCTCATGCAAGGTTACAAAATTAGAGTCAAAATAATTGGTTACTAATTTAATTTTCATAAATTGAACATAACTTCATTTATTCATCATCTTGCTAACTTCATCTATTTATATGCATGTAAAATCAAGTTAGGACCAAGAGTATGAATTATTGATTTCTTAAATTTGTTAAACTTGAGTTCAATTTCATATAAATAGATGAAGCTAGCAAGATGATGAATAAATGAAGTTATGTTCAATTTATGAAAATTAAATTAGTAACCAATTATTTTGACTCTAATTTTGTAACCTTGCATGAGATTAAGTTCTATTTGTTACATGCATGAATAAATTTTCCAAGTTTAGTACTCTACTGATACATACATCATGGATTTTGAAGGATTTGGATTAATTCAATCTCATATTTTGAAGAGAAAAAGAAAATGTTTTATGAACATCAAGTTTATGGAAAATTAGAATTAATCCTAATGCTAGTTAAAGTTTTGATTTTATAATTAGATTTTTAATCCATGCATGTAGTGTGCTTTAAGATTTTATTTAAATTAAACATATTTTGATTATGAATTAAGTTGAGGTTACAAATTAAGTTTAGTTTAAGATTATGGAACTTAGTTGGAAAATTTATAAGAAGTTTCATGACTCCAATTTCATGATTTCAAGGAAAATAGAAAGAACTTGAGACCAATTTTATGTAATTAAAGAGAAAATGAGAAATTGAAGTTATGATCAAATGTATGAAAATTAATTTAGAAATTAATTACTTTGGGTGGAATTTATTTGTCCTAACATGAAATTGAGTTCCAATTGGGCGTACATTATGAATTTTCCAAGAGTTTTGAAAGTTTAATTCGTATTTTAAAATTGTGGGCTTGAAATTGGGTTTGACATGGAGAAGATGAGTTAAAACTAAATTTGGACAATTGGAGCATGATTTTGAATGAATGATTTCTAATTGAAAGTGTTTATTTAATTATATAATGGTTTTCCATGTTTGTATACTAAAGTACATGTTTTGAGGCTTTGAATATCGAATTTGAACTTCAATTTCAATATTGGAATTTTAGAATTTGTGTTGTCCGCTCGAGCGAGGAAAGTCTCGCTCGAGCGTGAAAATCGAGCTCCCAGTAGTTTTCAAATTTTGCAGTCCGCTCGAGCGACCAAAGTGGCGCTCGAGCGGAGACCCATTTTCAGTATATTTTGAGAATTTACATTTAGTTCACATTTTTATTCTCATCTCTTTCCAAGGCATTTTAGGCATGATTTATGACTCAATAAAGATTAATAAGCTACCAATCAACATAAATTAGTTAGTTAAAGAATGAATCGTTGATCGAGTGGTAATTGTTTAAGAAGCCAAGTAAAATATCAATCTATTTGGAAAAGAAGGGCTTAGTAATAAAAGAATATGTGAAATAAGAACCCGGTCTATTTGAATGAGAAAGAATAAGTGTAGTAGAACTTCGGATTATTTAGACAGAAAAAGACTAGAAAAGTCAAGTTTGACCAAGAGAGTAATATTGTATTTCAATGTGTATATGTTATGTGCTTGTGTAGGTCATGCGCCATTGTCTGCCTGATTTATCTGATATGTCCAGTCTGTCTGATTTGCTTCTGCAGTCATCTGTGAGTAGTAATTTTGTAAAGTTATGTTCAATGTTATGTATTTTCGGAATATTATGATACGAAACGATTGATTCTTGGAAATGCTATGATATGTTTGAAACGAATGAATGATTGTCTAAGATTCTGAAAGTTAACCGTGGAATCCTTAGCATCACATGATATGCGTCCCTTTATGGGTCATCAGAACGTCTCTGTGCACATGAGTCATCAGAATACCTTCAGGGCTGTCCCTTATGGGTCATCAGGTCCCTTTATGGGTCATCAGATATGTTAACGCTATTGGATGTACCACGTATGCTTATGTGAAAAACCTGAATATGGAAATGATTATGAATATGTATATGAATCTGTTTCTGATTTGGAATCTGAGGCCTCGTTTGGGAAGTGGCTATTTTAGTAGGCTATTTTAGTTTTTGGCTATTTTAAGTAGGCTAAAATTTTTGTATTTGGGAAGATGATTGGATTTTTTTGTGGTTGGATGTGATGTTTGTGAGAGAAAAAGTGAAATGATTATGGGTTTGATGTAATATTTTGTCTTATTAGCTATTTTAGCCTATTTTGTCTTTTTGTGATTTTTAGCCTAAATTTGGCTATTTTTTTTCTTCCCAAACACCCCCTGAATATGCATAAGAATCTGATTTCTGACTCTGTAATGGACATTATTCATTAAAATCCTTTACTCTGTTATTATTCACTGGGTTCTAACTCACTGTATTATTTATGTATGTAGGTGATTAGGCGCGTGACCAGGCTTAGAGGCATCTGCCTAGAATCTGTTTTGTCAGCCAACCCATGTGCCTCCTGTGGAGGTTCCGAATATGTCAAGTGATTGTCGCTAAGTGTTATAAAGTTTAAGTTCTGTTTTCTTGTTTGGTTAATCAAGTCTGGTGTATTTTTGTAAATAGGGCTAAGTCCCTTTTTGTCTAATCTGTATATATAGGATGACTTAAAGTTGATGTGTATATATGTATATAAATAGTTTAAAATTTTTCTGTCTCATATAAGTCTGCACAGCTCAACGGACGTTGTATGTTGCTTCTGCTAGCCCTTAATATTATGTTAATCTGTCTCAGAGGCCTTCGGTAATCCCAGGATTACTGGCCGGTTACGATACTAAACCTATAGGGGCGGGTTTGGGTCGTGACAGAGTGGTGTCAGAGCACGAGTTAATATCTCACACACGTGTCCATTGAGCATTAGAATGTTTACAACAGATTTAAGTTTCATGCATCTAGTAAGTAAGTAAGAAGTTGTGCATTCAAGAATATGTATATGCGCTTGTGTAATACGTTTAAGTACTAAAACTAAGAATTGAGAACTAGTGTGGACTTTTGATAATTATAAGGAAACTGGAATGTGTTGAATCAGTCTAGCAATGAGGCTGAAAGTTAAGAATTATGGTGACATCTCTGAAATTTCTACTATTATAAGGAAATCAGAATATTTGGCTAGTACATTGGTGAGAATAAGTATGTTGATTTGTGGAAACAGAGTGTTATGCAGAATTAGAATCTTTGATGAAAGTCATGGAAACTATATGCGTTATATGTTAACTTGGACTATGAGAATATTTGGAAATTGAAGAATTTGATGATCAATGAAATATGTGGAACTATGGTAATTGAGAAAGAGAAAAGTCATGTGATATGTAAGATAGTACATTTTGGTGGGAACCTATTATGTGGAATGTTAAACCGTAGCGTCTCATGCCTTTGTGGGATAACCTTGAAAGTCTGATTGGAATCACATTTGGCCAGCGTTACTTCAAATAAAAAATTCTTGGTAAATTCCATGGGAATGAATAGGTTATCCTACCAGTGTCCTTATAAGCCTATATGTGTATGTCTATTTGTATATGATATGTGCTTTGTGTTATAATTTAAGTCAAATAAATTAACCCAAGTGTTATCAATCATTTTCTTGTGTTTGACCCTTCCCTTCTGTCATTAGGAAAAGATGGTGAAAAGTATGAATGGAGTGGAAATTGAATCTTTATCAGGGTGATTAAGTAATGTAGAAGAAGTACTAGAGATCGTGGTGAAAGCTATGAACCCTATCATACATGGCAAGATCAAAAGAAAGAGTTAAGTGTGGAAGTGAAAAATGAATCATAGAAGAAAACTAAGAATCTTGTGGTAAGAAAGACGAGTAATTCTGGACAAGGTTGTAAGAGAAGTAAGTTATTCTAGTATGTCAATATGTCACAAGATCCATCGGGGACTGTGTCATCGAATTACTGGAAATGTGGGAAGTTGGGGCATCAAATAAAAGACTATCCCAAACCTAAGAGGAAGCTCAAATAATTTAATTGGTTAAGGATAGTACTTAAATGCAAGCAGGACTGCTTGAAGCTAATAGTTTATGTGTGAGTGGTATTTTTTTTTAATAAAGCTATGTTATAATGTTTTGATAAAGCCTTACTTTGCTTTGTTTTGGAAAAGTCTTTGATCAAGCTTGAAGATGATCCATTAGTTCTGTATCAAGTATTAGCTTTCTTTTGGATGACATTCTTGAAAGGTCCTTTCGTGCTAGGGGACCTTAAGCTTATGTAGCACTCTTGTTGAGATATCTCTTTGCCATCGACGGTCATGTATGGATGGTACCACCGATGGTCTTGTACGGGTGGGTTATGTTTTGCCACCGACGGTTTTTCGGGTGGGTTGTCTAACCGATTTCGGGTCGGCCACCGACGGTCATGAACGGGTGTGCTTCGATTCCGGAGCGGTTATTCCTTTGTTTTGTCAGGCATGTCATCCCATGTTTTGTTACAAACTATGTCATGTGTTGTTTTGATATAAGTGGAACCCATTTGTTGGGCCATTTAGAACTCAACCTGAAATTGCTAAAAATGATTAAAACATCGTTGAGACTTGACCAATTGATGAATATGGATAATAATTGGGATTTCTGTTTAGTCTAACAAAGCTATATGTTTTTGGTACCTTGTTTGAATAGAAAGAAAATCGTACTCCACATTAGGAGACTAAACCTATGAGAGTTAGAAAGGAAAGAACCAATTTACAAAAATCGTATCACTATTGAATCTTCTAACTTTGAAAGAAACATTTAAAATTAACTTAAGCCACAAAGTCAAATATAGACTTCTAGAAAGGAAAGCGTAATGAGAAATAGGAAAGTAAATTTCCTTAGAATGACGAGCGTATATCCCTTAAAGAACCTCTGGAAATATAAAAACTTTAATTGACTAATTGTAATGATTTGAGAAAATTAAAAATTTAGCCCTAAATTACCACGTGACAATTGATCAAAGTTAATGAGACCGCGTAAAATGTAGACTCGCTGTGAAATTGAATCACCACCTTGAAATGATAGTAGGAGAAAGATTATCAAAAGCAGTAACTTTAATTTCACAGAGGTACGTAAAGTTCTGTTCTGATCTGTATGACTGTCTGCTACTATTTGAGAGCAAGCCAACATTTGTTACCCAATAAGCTCTATGAATTTCTGTGAAATATGCTTTTGTTTGAAATCCAATGTGCTCCTCTGTTTTGAAATTACCATCATAATTGTCATCCAAGATGTCTGTTTGAAAGTGGGACCATTAATATGTGATTACAATTCTATATAATTCGGAAATTTCTGTTATAGATTAACATATGGATCCTTATTTGGGGAAATTACGTTATGTGCAGAACCTTGACCATAGTCAATGAAAGTTAATGTCTGTTCTTTTGGGATAGGATGAATTACAAATTGCATAGCAATAATGTCGGAATTATATTTTTGTTAATAGGACTGAAGGATCGAGAAATTGTGTTTGTTATTAGAAATGCATTGGCTATTAGATTTAATTTGAAGAATCTATCATGTTAATAGCGAAATATTTTGATCTGTTTGAAAAATAAAGAGAATCATGAACGTTCCTTAAGAGAAATCTCCTACTATTGGAAGTATATGAATTATAGATTGATGAATTAAAGTATATAAGGTATGTGATTGAAATTAATAGAGACGATAATGACTCGCCAATTTGGGTTGTTAACCATTAAGTGATTGAGAATAAGTTCAACTTGTGTGGAGAAAGTTCAATGAAAAGAAGTTATCTAGGAGAGGAATGAAATGAGACTAATTATATGACTGATTTTCTGTACAAGTATCTTAAGTTTGGAGGACCAAACTCCTTAAGGGGAGAAGGCTGTAACGACCCCATCACGTATAATGATTAGTACTTGATTAGGATTTGAAATTAATTGTCGAGTATTATAATTTAATTTGGGATTTATAAGACTTGTGGAATCCGACTCGTACATGATTCTATTAAAGAGTTATTTTGGAATTAGAAATTAAGGATCCGAATGGCTTAAGGAAGTGAAGTTAAGAAGTTGAATCAATCTAATTTTAATTACGGGTCCATTTGGAAGTTTAATTAAATATTCGATTCAATTTAGTAAAATTGAGATTCGATTAATTAGATCCTAATTGGAGTTGATTAAGTCATGAGGATTGAGGATTATGGTTATTATAAATTAAATTTAATTATGATGTGCGCAATTTGAAGATGTAATTTATTGATGAAAATTTGAGTCTGATCAGAAATTGAAGGCCTAGATGATTTGGGAGATCAAAATTGATAATGATAATAAATTTAATTTAATATTTGGAGCCTTTTGGAATCTGACTAAAAATTTAATTCGGATTAATAAAATTAAATATAATTAATTAGGCTCTAATGAAAATCAATTAGATTAATTAAATTATGAGAAATCTATGATTTGTTATAATTAATTTACTGATGTGCTAATTGAAATTTATTAAGACTAAGTGTTGCTTAATTAAATAAATCCTAAGCATAAATTGTCTTATGAAACAATCTAGATTTGAGGGTGTATTTGGGTGTGGGTGTGCAAAGAAAATTCTGTGGGTGTGTGCATGTTAAGTGTTGTGCTGGAAGTGCTATGAGAGTGTGTGTGTGCACGTGTAATGAGGCCAAAAACAGGGGATGTGAGTATTATGGATAATGTGATGAAGGAGTCAATGAACTCAAAAAGAAAAAGAGATGAAAACCGAGGAAGAAAGAAAACCGGGAGAGAGAGAGAACTCACCTGGAAAAGAGTTGCTGGAGAGTGAAATGCAAGATGAACAACTAAGAAAGCAAAGGAGAGATGAGGAAAAATAAAAGATTGAGAGAGAGCTCAAAAATTCAACAAGTTGAGGTAAATTTCTTGTTTAATTCTTCTACACCTAATACTTGAAATCAAAAGGGATTTTGGTTCAATTTCATGTAATTGGAAAGAAATTAGCAAGAAGATGATGGAATTAAATTAGATTCATGATTATGAAAATTAATTTAGAAATTAATTAGTTTGAGTTTGATTTTTATTATTCTTCATAAATTTGAGGTTCATCCCCACATGCATGTTAGAATTTCAAAGTTTTAGATTTAATTCATGTGTTAAAAAAAGACTTATGAGATTAAATTTGGGTTTGCATGTAAAATCAAGTTAGGACCAAGAGTATGAATTATTGATTTCTTAAATTTGTTAAACTTGAGTTCAATTTCATATAAATAGATGAAGTTAGCAAGATGATGAATAAATGAAGTTATGTTCAATTTATGAAAATTAAATTAGTAACCAATTATTTTGACTCTAATTTTGTAACCTTGCATGAGATTAAGTTCTATTTGTTACATGCATGAATAAATTTTACAAGTTTAGTACTCTATTGATACATACATCATGGATTTTGAAGGATTTGGATTAATTCAATCTCATATTTTGAAGAAAAAAAGAAAATGTTTTATGAACATCAAGTTTATGGAAAATTAGAATTAATCCTAATGCTAGTTAAAGTTTTGATTTTATAATTAGATTTTTAATCCATGCATGTAGTGTGCTTTAAGATTTTATTTAAATTAAACATACTTTGATTATGAATTAAGTTGAGGTTACAAATTAAGTTTAGTTTAAGATTATGAAAATTAGTTGGAAAATTTATAAGAAGTTTCATGACTCCAATTTCATGATTTCAAGGAAAATAGAAAGAACTTGAGGCCAATTTTATGTAATTAAAGAGAAAATGAGAAATTGAAGTTATGATCAAATGTATGAAAATTAATTTAGAAATTAATTACTTTGGGTGGAATTTATTTGTCCTAACAAGAAATTGAGTTCCAATTGGACGTACATTATGAATTTTCCAAGAGTTTTGAAAGTTTAATTCGTATTTTAAAATTGTGGGCTTGAAATTGGGTATGACATGGAAAAGTTGAGTTAAAACTAAATTTGGACAATTGGAGCATGATTTTGAATGAATGATTTCTAATTGAAAGTGTTTATTTAATTATACAATGGTTTTCTATGTTTGTATACTAAAGTACATGTTTCGAGGCTTTGAATACCGAATTTGAACTTCAATTTCAATTTTGGAATTTCAAAATTTGTGTTGTCCGCTCGAGCAAGGAAAGTCTCGCTCGAGCGTGAAAATCGAGCTCCCAGTAGTTTTCGAATTTTGCAGTCCGCTCGAGCGACCAAAGTGGGGCTCGAGCGGAGACCTATTTTCAACATATTTTGGGAAATTGCATTTAGTTCACATTTTTATTCTCATCTCTTTCCAAGGCATTTTAGACATGATTTATGACTCAATAAAGATTAATAAGCTACCAATCAACATAAATTAGTTAGTTAAAGAATGAATCGTTGATCTAGTGGTATTTGTTTAAGAAGCCAAGTAAAATATCAATCTATTTGGAAAAGAAGAGCTTAATAATGAAAGAATATGTGAAATAAGAACCTGATTTATTTGAATGAGAAAGAATAAGTGTTGTAAAACTTCGGATTATTTAGACAAAAAAAGACTAGAAAAGCCAAGTTTGACCAAGGGAGTAATATTGTATTTCAATGTGTATATGTTATGTTCTTGTGTAGGTCACGCACCATTGTCTGCCTGATTTATCTGATATGTCCAGTCTGTCTGATTTGCTTCTGCAGCCATCTGTGAGTAGTAATTTTGTAAAGTTATGTTCAATGTTATGTATTTTCGAAATATTATGATACGAAATGATTGATTCTTAGAAATGCTATGATATGTTTGAAACGAATGAATGATTGTCCAAGATTCTAAAAGTTAACCGTGACATCCTTAGCATCACATGATATGCGTCCCTTTATGGGTCATCAGGTCCCTTTATGGGTTATCAGAACGTCTCTGTGCACATGAGTCATCAGAATGCCTTCAGGGCTGTCCCTTATGGGTCATCAGGTCCCTTTATGGGTCATCAGATATGTTAACGCTATTGGATGTACCACGTATGTTTACGTGAAAAACCTGAATATGGAAATGATTATGAATATGTATATGAATCTGTTTCTGATTTGGAATCTGAATATGCATAAGAATCTGATTTCTGACTCTGTAATGGACATTATTCATTAAAATCCTTTACTCTGTTATTATTCACTGAGCTCTAACTCACTGTATTATTTATGTATGTAGGTGATTAGGCGTGTGACCAGGCTTAGAAGCATCTGCCTAGAATCTGTTTTGTCAGCCAATCCATGTGCCTCCTGTGAAGGTTCCAAATACGTCAAGTGATTGTCGCTAAGTGTTATAAAGTTTAAGTTCTGTTTTCTTGTTTGGTTAATCAAGTCTGGTGTATTTTTATAAATAGGGCTAAGTCTCTTTTTGTCTAATCTGTATATATAGGATGACTTAAAGTTGATGTGTATATATGCATATAAATAGTTTAAAATTTTTCTGTCTTATATAAGTCTGCACAGCTCAACAGACGTTGTATGTTGTTATTTGCTTCCGCTAGCCCCTAATATTATGTTAATCTGTCTCAGAGGCCTTCGGTAATCCCAGGATTATTGGCCGGTTACGATACTAAACCTATAGAGACGGGTTTGGGTCGTAACAGCAACATTCAATTTTCATAGTAGCGAAATAAGGTAAAAGCAATAATCCAAAAAATTCTCAAATCTTAAGTCTCATCTACATTGCAGCCTGCTATCAACAATTTAGAGTTCTAGACTAATGGGTCAATTGTATCCAACTTACACAAGTTCTGGTATGATTATGCCAAGATTATAAGACTAACTGTAATCTTCGTTACTCAGGGAGATCAGTGTCATTTGTCCAAAAATTAAAGAATTGCTCCCATGTGCTATGTTGCTCACCGATTCTTTCTTTTGTCAAACTAAAGACAATTTAAAGCATAGTGCAGATTTTTCGCAATAGTTGTCTCACCATTATAACTGAATACAGGGAGCTCATCAATATCTACTAATTATACATCCTTCATTTTGAATTAAAAAAAAAAAGAGTTTAGTATATCAGGAGATTCAGATCATTGTTCAGAATATTGCTGTCTGATTTGTTCCTATGGGTGTGAAAAAGTAACGAAATGTATCACGTGCCTTCTATTCTAGTTCTAGGTACCAAACGTGAGGTGTGTTTCATTCTCTCAAGAGGGAATGATTCTGTAATACTGTGTGAACTAATTAGGGTCCCTGGAATAAATGCAAGCAGGTTTGAATCAAGGCCAGGATATTACACAATTGATCTCCTAGTGAGGTGTAACGACTCTGTCCAATTGCCTGATTAAAAATATATTTAAAAAAAAAAAAAAATAGCAGTCCAACTGCCATTAAAATCTCTTTTTGAGCAACAGGGATAAAGTTCAAACTCATTGCATTCCCTGCACAGGAACTTCTGTATAGTCCAAGGCCAGCAGTTAAAAATCTTTGATTTGCAAAATAAACAATGCCATCAGTGGATACATAGATGAGCTAAATCTCTGGGAAACCAAAAAAAAAAAGTGTCCACAAATTATTCTGAAATTTCTCACCTTAACAGGCCAGGGCAGTATGATGAACCACTTCAATAATTTTGTTTTCAAAACATGCCCGAACTCTTGCCACTAGTGATACGTCCAAAACAAATTGAGGAATCATACAGGAGTCAAAAACTCTCCATCATGATAATACTATTTCCTTCCCCTGTTGAGCCTCTGCAGATGATAATTAATACTTCCCCAAGGTTTCCTGCTATTGTTAGTCTGCAACAAAGTTCATCGCAAGGAACAGGTGTAAATAGCAATTGGAGAGGTCAAGCAAAATTATCAGCATCTCGTAATAAATTACAATTTTTTTTTGTTTTCTACTTCAAAGAAAAGTATGACAAAATAGGAGACTTAGAAATTACTCAAGTGCATCACCTGAGCATCCATGCATGCACTCAAAAGCTCTTTATGCCTAACGCACTTTTCATCACTGTTGTGGTTAAGAGACAAACAATTAAGAAAAGTTATCATTTCCTTCATGCAAGGTTTCCGGAGAGAACCAAATTTCTTTGGATTTATATATAGCCCACCAGCTTTCCGGCCCATTCTTACCTAGTTCAAATGGTAAAATATGCAAGCAGGAAATTGTTAGACTTTATCACTTCTTTAAAAAAAAAAATCATAATGGAGCAAGAACAATGCAAAAACATTTGTGTCAAGAAATAGTCTCAGACAGAGAAGCATAATATTCATAAAAGCAATGGCAAGACATATTCACGTTAAGTTACTTCATCAATATCCAACTCATTACACCCTCTTCAATTGAGCGCACCCACTGCAGTTTGAAGTGGTACTACTTCAAAAAAGAAGCACATCATAATGATCTACCTTTAAGATCTATGCAATTAACGGGGGCAAACACATTTCCCAAACCAAAGAGGAGGTTATGTCCCAATCCAATCCTCTAGAAACAGTAGGTAATAACTATTTTGGTCAAAGATTGGAAAGATGATAAAATAAAAGTAAATGAAATTGAGTCAGCCTAGAACATAATACATGGATAATGCAAGTCGTGTACTGTTTTTTATTCTATGAAGAAGCCATACATCCAATAACAAAAACACACGAGTTTAGGTCAGACATTCAAGAGAAAACTATTAGTGATTGTTGCCACTAGTAGCATGAAGAAATGTAGGAAACTTGCACCCACAAGGATTCCCACCTTTTGTGATTTTTTGCCCCATTTCCCACTGACATGAAATTCCCCCAATTAAAATAAATAAATTTAAAAATAAAAATAAAAATAAAGAAGAAAGAGAAAGGAAAATAAATAAAGAAAGGAAGATCTATAACTTTCAGCTGTCAATTGAGCAGCAATCATAATGATGAGTCTTGAGACTTGATCTACATCTTGCACCTAATTCTCCTTCCTCCATCCTTACCTAATTAAGATAAGCATAAATGTGGACCATCTGGTTCTGTCACTCTCTTTGTTTTGACACTCATCTTTAATTCATAGAGCTCTAGAAGTGTAGTTATCAAGAATCCCCCCACCCCCACTAATGATTTGACTTGATTAAATCAGCAAAAAAACGAAAGAACAGTATAACCAAAATGGAAACCTTGCAACATATTTCTCAAGTTAAGGAAAAATAACCAATTGATTCCCACTAAAAAATAATGGAAAGCAGGTCAGATGCCACAAACTGTCAGAAAATTAAGGTTCTTGAGAAGTTTCTTTTTCTTGTCTAGGTGCAGATATTCTGTTTTTGTCCATCCCAAAGGACTGTCATTAACAGAATGTTTGAGATAACAAATATTACAAGGTCAAACTATTTTCTATGTTTTTGTATTGTCAAATTAGTTATAGGCCTATAGCATTTCCATACTAAAAGCACCCTTTTATGAAGCATTTGTTCAACCTAAATTAACTTAATATTCAATGATATAGAACTAATGATAACTTTTTTTTCACTACACACAATATATCATATCTTTATGTGTCTTAATAAAAAGAACAAAGAACAGAATGTATATCATATCACTACACAATTCTTTTTTTCACTACACAATATATCACTACTTATGGCTACTTCAACAATGTAAACCCTCCACCAATATCTTTGCAATGTGAAGATAATATCGTTTTACAGTTCTAACAATGTGTAAAAAAATATCATTTTACATTTAACCCCTGAGTTGTGCAACCCCAAAGCTCATCCAAGTTTAAAAACATAAACATTGTAATACAACATTTATAAAAAAAAAAAAAAAACATTTTAATATAAAACAATATTAATAGTTTAAAGTCTTAAATCAAAATAGAAATGACAATTGAAATCTATTCATGATGTTGTGTTGGAGACAATTAAAGCCCTTTGATATGAGCGGCTTAAGGAAGTTGAAGCCCGATGTTTTCATGTTCTAGTTTCACAATATCTAATACTTTATTGCAACAAAAATGGGAAAACAAAAGATCATAAGACTCAGCAAACCTAACACCATACAGGGATATTTTCATGTATATTATGTTCGCCTAATAAATAAAAAGAACCACACCGCAAAGCCTTGGTATGATAGATTACAAAAAGTTGTGTATACTTGGAGAATAAATCAAACACATAACATGCAATTATAAAACAAAACTAAAATACGTATAAACAGATTTACGACTTCAAAACAAACTAAACTATACATCAATTGCTCCAAAAATTGGCATCATGAACAATTTAACCAAATCATGAAAGCAAAAGCAGACCCTGAGCCTGAAAACAGCGTTGGATCTTTACAATTTTCAACAAAGACTGAAATTTAAAGCTTTAAAGTAGAGATAGTATAGATCTGAATCAACTAAACATGACACTTAGAAATGTTTCGGAAACAAACACACACATAGATAGAGAGAGGATTACCGTATCGATGAGAGGGAGAGTAATGAGGAACACTCTAGTCTAGGGCAAGCTTGCTCTGTTTGACAATGTCTATTGTCGAACCCTTCACTCCCTCGATTTGGTTTTTTTTTTTTTTTTTTTTTAAGATTAGCGGTTTTTTCCCCCTGAGATTCGATCGTAAGGGCCTATAATTTCACTACCCAACATAAACCCAATCTTTTAGGCCATGTTTGTGTACCGTGCGGGTGGCCGGATTAGATTGCTATTACTGTAGGTCTCACCCGCAGTTTGTTCGGTGATGATTTGGGAGAGGGGATTGATAATGTGAGGGATTTAATCCCTCGGTACGCGATCAGCTTGGTTGGATTTTAGATAAGATTAGAAAAAATAGAGTCTATTTTATATAAATATTTTATTTTATTTTACCAAGTGTATTTATCTGTTTAAATATTTGTTTTAGTTTTTTTTTAATATAGAAATAATTTTTTTTATTTATTGTATATAAAAATAATTTAACAATTTCATCGCTAACTATTTCTCACACTATCATTAAAACAAACACACTTTTAATTAATTCTCTCACTAACCGTAACGTCATAATTATATCAAAAATAATTTTCTAAAAAATATAAATTAACAATGTAAATATTAAATTTTCAATTTTTTTGAAAAAAAATCTTAAATATTTTTAGTGATGCTTTTCTATATTTAAAAAAAAATCTTAAATATAAGTCATAATACTTCACACACTAACAACAAATAAAATTAAAGATGAAAATTTAGCCGTTTAACAATCATAGTAATAAAAATTATGAAAACATCCAACTAAAGCAATCCATAAAACATAAGTTACAAAAAATACAAAACTAAGTCTAAACTGACATAAAATAAACCCGCAAGTCACAAAGTACAAAGTTTACTAACAAAAATCATAAATCTCAAGCAACAAATATAAAAAGATGTTTACGACATGACATCATTCTTTAAAAAAAATATATGAAATTTTTTTTTTCAACATAGCACATCACAAACAATCTTTAATTTTTGCCTAAATCTCCTAGGGACCATAATTTAGCCAATCATCATCATCATTCTCATTAGCGTTAGCACTAGAGCCCGGGTTATTTGATCTATTATCAATGTTCAAATATTACAGCTCAGATTCAGAGACTCAATTAAAAAAAAAAAAATCAGATTCAATACTATAATTAATTATATCATGTGACAAAAGGAAAACAGATGCTTCTTCAAATAAAAGGAAAATAGAGGCTTCTTCTTACAAACTTACAAAGAATAACAAAGTCAATACATCTAAAATTATACTAATAGATGTTTATTTGTTTGTTAATCACAAATATCTGTATATCTATATAATAAGGAAGAAGGGATTTTGAAAATATGTAAAATATATAAGCGATACATTTCATTTTAAAGGCTTAGATCAATTATGATACAAATCAATGGTTGAGATTATTTCAATTCCCGCCCAAACACTCGGTGCTCTCTCCCACCTACCCACGTCTCCTCCCCCATTCCATCTATATCTCCTTCTTTGTTCCTCTCCTGTGAAATTTTCCACAGACGCTACCTCTCTCCTTCTCTCTCACCCGATCTCTGCCTCTCCCCCTCTCCCCCCACCCTCCCACTCGTTGCCTCTCCCCCTCTCCCCCCTTTCTTTCGCAAAAACGCTACCTCTCTCCTTCTCTCTCACCCAATCTCTGCCTTTCCCCCTCTCCCCCCACCCTCCTGCTCGCTGCCTCTCCTCCTCCACCCGATCTCTGCCTTTCGCTACCTTTCTGAACCCCGATTGGAGCTCTCCGATAGAGCTACTTCAGAGCTACACCAAACCTGAGTCTTCTATCTGTGCAAGGTAATATTTCTGTCTCTATTCCCCTCTTTCAATTGATCTACTGTTAATTTCTGAGTTCTAAGATCGTTTATCAGATCCCTATTTTTTTACTATTTTCTGTATAAAATCCGGATAGACAGGAATGCGTGTTTAAGAATGTAAATCATGACAAGTTCTATAATTTATGATTTCGGTAATGGACTCACAGAATTAACAGGGGATAGAATACATAGTGCCCGCTTGAGCTCATTGCTACAATCTGGGCAGTCTCAGTCTTGGTGGAAACTCAGATTTTAAGTTTTGATTAGGAATTGAGTTGTTCAGTGGGTATAACCTAGGCGCTGGATGGCTGTTGTGTTATCACTGGAGTAAGGATAAATGGCTTCTAACATATAATTCTTAGGGTATGCCCCCAGGGTCAACTCAACAGTGTCCTCCATAGCTATGTGCCCATCATGAGTATAACTTTTCATCTATGATACCAACGAGCGAGAGCAAGCTGTAACTTCAACTTAATTCATCTATATTTTTTCATTTTTCATTTTCTAAACTTATTCTAAGTTGATATCTTACTCTATGTAAAATCATAATTAAGTTTCTGCAAAGTTTAGTCAGTTCAACAATATTCCAATATCAATCAATTATGCCAAGAAGCTAGCAAAATGAGAAAAGACTAAAATGTAGCATATTTTTCAAAACAAAAAATCCAAAAAGAATAACTAAATCGACATGACAGCATTGAAGAGTCTGACCTATGCTTATTGAGTTCGGCCAACAAAGCACTCTACTTTGTTGCGTCCATTGGATTTGCAACCGCTTCTCTTTGCGCCAAAAAGGCCACCAATTGAACCAATCTGACAACAAGACCTTCTCTAATCCAAAAATCATTGCGAATGAAGTTGTTATCGGAAAAAGTGGAATCGAAGGTTGAATTGAGATTGTCAGGATGCAATGTTGAATTGGAAACAAGGTGGTGGCGGCGAAATCGAGAAGTTGAATGGAGTGAAGAGAGAGAAGTAGAGCGGCGGTGAGTAGTAGAGAGAGAAAGTTGAAGATGCTTAGAGGAGGAATATAGGTGAGGAAGTGAAGGTTTGCAGAAGAGAGAAGCTTGAAGAGCAGTCATGGCTTTAGTTAGGGTTTATTAAGGATTCTTTCAATCCATTCTCTCTCTTCTCTCTCTTTCTCTGGAGCAGTATCGCAGCAAGTTTTGACAACAGAAAATGCTAGGGAGTTTTCGTCCGCTGCAAAAGGAGAGACACTTGAATAATTACCATAACATATAAGAATGTAACTAAGCACACGGTTTTGGAGGTTTTGTGAATGATACCTCCCACTTGGGTTATGTTTGACAAATGTTTTTTTAACAGTTTTTTATAATCATCTGAGATGATTATGTGTGGATTTTCAGAAATTATTATTTTGGTTCAATTTTCAGGTTTCATTGAAATTTTTATATTTTGTGGAATTTTAACAAGATCAATGAAAATGATGATTATGAGTGTGATTTTGATTTTTTTTTTTTTAAGTATATTTGTTTTGTTCAATTTGTATATTTCATTATAGTGTTTGAAACTTGCGAAATTCAATGAAATAAATGAAAAAAACATACTATTTTTGGTCATTAATTTTTTTGCCTTTCCCTATCTATAAAAATTAGAATTAAAATTTTTTTGTTAAGTTTCTAATTTTTCTCTATAATTTTAGAATTTAGAATTATACTAAAAAAACACCGTGCCTTTAGGCACGGGCATACGCTAGTCATCATACATATATCTATTGAGTATATATGTTTTTATTTTATTTTATTTTTTGATGTATATAGATATAGGATTTTGGAGGGGATTTGAGAAAAAATTAGAGATGATTGGGGTTCAGAAGGAGTCTTAAAGGATGAAGAGGCTCTTTGTTTAGATGCAACACATTATGGAAATGTTGCAAGGTTTATTAATCATAGGTAAGTTCAACAAAACACAGAAGCGCATATGCCCTTGTGGCTTCCTCTTAATTATTAATGTGTTCTGATCCTTGTCAACCTATGATTAATAAACCTTGCAACATTTCCATAATGTGTTGCATCTAAACAAAGAGCCTCTTCATCCTTTAAGACTCCTTCTGAACCCCAATCATCTCTAATTTTTTCTCAAATCCCCTCCAAAATCCTATATCTATATACATCAAAAAATGACTATCGAAGTCCAATCTAATTAATTTTTTATATGGATAATCTACTCAAGAAATCCTACAAGTTGAATGGTTTGGATTACCAACATGGGCTCACTCACATCCACGGCAACTGGACATTCAATATTGTAGTTCAACTAGCCTAACAATACACATGGTCAGAAACATACAAACCCAACAATCACTTGCACACTGAAACACACCCCCTATGAAAGAGTAAGATACACCATGAAGCTTCCCAATGACACATAAATACCCATCAAATTCCCCCTTTGTATCCACAGAAAAAAGGATATCAAGTTGCATTGGAATCAAAAACCTATCATCACTGTCGCTGAGTAAAAGAGAATGTAATCAAAACAGAATTACTACAATAACAATCAACAATAACAATCATTAGCCAATAAAGGAGCTCTTGCATAGAAAGTCATGTTTGTTAGAAATTTTAATTTTTAGGAGTTTCTACTTTGGTTAGAATTTCCCTAAATTTTAAGTAAAGCTAGGAGTCCTTTCCAAGGCTACTGTCTAGCCTGTTATTAGTTTATAAAATTT